GTAGGGAAACGACCGCATGTGTCCTGTCCAGCCGCACCACGTGGGAGCCCCCAGGCCCACGCGCTCACTCCCACCCCACCTGCCCTGGTGGGATCCTGGCCCAGGCACACGCCTCTGTGGAACGTTCTGTCCTTTGTCTCTTTGCTGAGAGTGAAGGCTGTGTCTGCTGCTCCCATCCTCCAGGCACGTCCATAGCTCCCCATTGCCCTCAGGACCGAGTCCAGACTCCTAGGCATGGTCACAAGACCCGGCTGGAGTGTGTCTCAAGCCTCATCTCTCTCCTCGCCCCCAGACGTGTTCTATCACCAGACGCGGTACAGTACTTCCAGGTTCCTAAATGCATGCTCTGTCTAGCCCCAGGGCCTTTGCACATGCTGCTCACATTGTCCAGAACACCCTTCCCTCCCTCCAGTGCACCAACGGGCTGTCTCCTGCACCAGTGGTTCTTAACGGGGGCAGAGATGCCCCTCAGGGGACAGTGGCAATATCTGGAGACACATTGGTTATTACAGCAGGGTATTATTTGCATCTCATGGTTAGAGGCTGAGAACACAGCTAAGTGTCCTCCAGTGCACAGGACCACCACTCATTTGCATGCTGCAGAGGTCCACGGTGCAACAGAGGAGCTTTGCCTGATCCCACAGAGGTGACTGCCGTGGAGGCTGCTCCTGCTCCTCCTGCCCCTCTTGCCCCCCAGCTGGGGAAGGCCCCTTTCTCTGCCCCACAGTCCTGGCTTTTCTCCTTTGCCTGGCACTATCCTGGCCTAAAACTGGACCATGGACCTACACAAGAACCTGGATGCCCGGCAGGACGTGAGCAGCAGGGAAGCAAGTGAAGCTTCATCTGGGTTTCCAGTCACTTTCAATCCATGCATTACAGCCTGAGCTCCCCTCCTGTCAGATCAGTGGGGCTCTAGATTCTCCTAGGAGCTGAACCCTGCTGTGAACTGTGCACGCGAGGAATCTATGTTGCATGCTCTTGTAATCTATCCCTGCCGCCCTTGTTTATGGACAATTGCCTTCCATAAAACCAGGCCCTGGTGCCAAAAACGCTGTGGACTGCTGGTCTAACACACACTGGGACCTACAACCCCAACCCTGGGCTCAGCAGAGGGATGGCTGAGGCTTTCAGAAACACAGACAGGGCAGGAACCAGCCTGTGAGTAAAGACCAGAGTTGGGGCCCGGAACCCAGACTCTGGGGTACTCCTGGGGTTCAAATCCCAGTCCTGCCACTGAGTCACTGCATAGTCTGGAGCAAGATGCTTGACCTTTCTTTGGGTCTGTTCTCTCGCCTGGAAACTGGCCTGATCATAAACTTTCCCCTAGAACTGTTGTGAGGAAGGCACAGGTGAACACACGCAGGCGCTTCTAACCTGTCTGGTTATAGGAGAGAGAGCTCAGTAAGTATCAGCTATTCCTAAAACAGCTCCAATCCTCTCACTCTCCATGTTTAAGAGGGGGAAGGCCATCTTCCTCATTTACAAGAAGGACAAGGGATGGCTACAGAAGAAGTGGCCAGGCTGTCACTCTGTCCTGTGGGCGCTGCAGAGGGAGGACACTGAGAGAAGGGCAGAGATTCCAAGTGACCCATGGCCTGAACTCCTGCTCTGTGAAGTCTTCCGTCATGGCCATGTCCTGGGCCGCGGTCAGGGCCTGATTTTGAAGGTGACCAAGCAGGGAAGTGGCAGAATGGGGACAGACTTGGCACAGGGCTTGCTGGGACAGGGCTGTGGTGCCCACCAGGAGAAGCACAGGCGCCCTGGTCGACCACCTGAGAATCTGACACAGACAGACCCTTGGCCATCAGCCTGTTTGTTTTGGGTCCACAGGCAGGACCCACAGGACAGGGGCTGGTCACAGTCGAGGCCACGTCCTGCAGAAAACCTAGCTTCCCTGCCTCCTGGCCCAGGGGTCTTTCTGTTGCTCCAGGACCCAAAGCTCCAGTGGGAAGAGACGAAGGTCCAACCATCCCTGGCCCAGCTTAGAGTTCAAGTCACCACAGCCAGAGATGGCTCAACTACCTCCCGGTTCCCGCTCCCTGGGCCTTACCCCCAGTAGGCAAAAGAGAATGTTCTGCAACTTACGAACTGGATAGGACCCCCTGGAGGACCCTGCAAAAGAAGGCAGTGGGTCAGCATTGGGGGGCGCTGGGTATAGAGGCCCCGAGGTTGGCAGGAGAGTACCGGCGCTAGCTGCGCATGAGAGCACGTGCCGGCTGGTCTCTGCTCTCCTAGAACCCGTGGGCTGTAGGGAGCATAAGGGCCTGTGAGGTGCGAGGTCAAGGCTCAGCATGCAGCAAAGGCTTGGTGCTTGTTTATGGACCCCATCTCCCACCCTCACAAGTCCAACCTACACCGAACACCCAGGTACCTACCGGTGGGCCAGGCCGCCCTCTCGGGCCAGGAGGACCCTAGAGAAGAGGAGAGAAACAGTGAGGACCTGGTCGGCATCGGCCTTCCATGTCCCCCACCCTTTCTCTGCAGACCCCGACACCCAGGGACTATGGCTGCCCTGGTATAGACGGGGATAACAGGGGCCAGAGGGAAAGAACTCCAGGGACCTCAGTCACCATAGAAGGAGGGGAACTAGAATACCCACCCACCCCACTCCCTGCATGCCCAGCCCACTCACCCTCGGACCTTGCAATCCCTGGAGGAAGAAAGAAGCAGGGAAGGGAGTTAGGGGACCCTGCCCATGAGAGTCTGCCCCTCTCCACCCCCGTCGTAGTCCCCTCAGCTCATCCACTCACCCAGTCCCCTCGGCTGCCTTTGTCACCCTTTGGACCCTGCAACAAACCACAGCCCAGTGACACAGAGCTCAGAGGAGAAGCCCCAGTTCCCAGGTGGGGAAACTTGTACCCAAAAGGCTGGGGACTGCTGGTCTAAACCCAACTGGGACCCACAACCCTATCCCCGGGCTTAGCAGAGGCACAGAGGCACAAAGACCATGTGGTATCGGGAGGAAAAGGGACCCAGGAGTCTTCCTGGCCCGCCCTCTGCACATACCGGGAGTCCTGAAGGTCCCAGGGTTCCAAGGGGCCCGATGAGGCCTCCTTTTCCCTATAGGAGAAAGAAAGGCTGTATGTCCTGGTCCTGGACCTGGAGACAGGGGGCTGGAGGACAGCCTGAGTGTCCCCAGGAAATGGAAGCGAGACATCCCAGAGCAGGGCCCAGGCTGTGCACCTCCTGAGCCCCTTCCATGGGCCTTGGGAAGGGCCAGTAGAGCAGGCTACTAGAGGGGAGTGAGCAAGAAAGGAGGCTGAAGGATGAGCAGTCTGAGCAGAGGTGCGGGCATGGGAATGCAGGATGTGGGCACAGACGGGGCTCCGGGGTGAAGGAGGACACATGTCCAGCCAGCTGAGGGCTGGCCTGGGGCCTAGAGCGACTGTCCCCACTGGGGCAGTGGGAGGGACTCACCATCAAGCCAGGAGGTCCCCGAGGACCCTGGATACCCTTAAAGCCGACATCTCCTGGGGGGCCCTGTGGGAGGCAGAGGAAGGCCGTCTGTGCCCAGGTGGCCGCGGGGCAGCTCCTTGCCCCGGGTGTGGCCACTGTTTACCGCCCCCCCTGTTGAGCAGCCTTGCTGGAGAGGCCCCAGCTAGTTAGCAGGTAGCAACTGTGTACCTGCTCAGTGCGGCACAGGGCAACGCCTCTGGCCTTAATTCCGGCAACACTCCCTACAGTCCCATTCTACAGATGAGGAAACCGAGGGACTAAGTGGCTGTCCTCGGGCACAGGGAAACTGTGGAGTTGGGCTGGGAACCCGAGTCAGCGGAACAAGTACTGGGAAGAGGAGGTTCAAGCTTGATTCCTGCCAAGGTCCTGGCCACACCGCAAGGGTTTGCTAAATCTTTGTTGAGTAAGTGAATGAGTGGGGTGGGTGACGGGGCCCCACAGGAACACTGAGGGGTGGGAGTCAGTACCTTGGGTCCAAAGAGACCAGCTATTCCTGGGAAGCCCATCTCACCAGAGTCGCCCTGCGGGAGGACAGGAGAGTGGGTAAGGAGGTTGGGGACAGGGACCTGGCCAGTTACCCAGCGCCCCAGAGCTCCGAGGCAAGGCTTCCTGCCTTCTTCCTTGCAGCCTCTCCACGGACATCAGTGACTCCGCTACAAGGTGACCAGAGGGTGTGAACAGATGCAAACTAGATGCCCGTCGGCCTGGGCTCCAAGGGGCAAGTGCCTGTGCCCTCTGTCTGATGGGACTGCGGAGCCCAGCTCGGGGTTCCCACGGGAAAGCTCCAGACAGTCAGGGCTCCTGTCCCAGGTCGCCAAGGAAAAGAATGCAAGGATTCACAGATTTCCTCCCACCCATTCCAAATACTCTACTGAAAAACCAGCTCCCTGGCCAGCCCTTCAGCCTGGTGGCTAAGAGCACCAGATCCTGGGACCAGCGGATGGCATAATCTCTCTGTTCCTCTCTCTCTGGCAAGTGCACATGCCCTATGGTTTTTTTTTTAAAAAAAAAGTGTACGATTTAGTGGCTTTTACTGTGCACTCACCATCGTTTCAGAACATTTTCATCAGTCTGAAAAGAAACCCTGTACCCACGAACAGTCACTTCCTCAGTCATTTTTTTCTGGCGACCAATAACTTATTTTCCGTCTCTAAAGATTTGCCTATTCTGGGTGTTTCTTGTAAGCAGAATCATGCAGTATGTGTCTTTTGTCTGACTTCTTTCACTTAGCATTATGCTTCCAAAGTTCATCCACCCCATAGCATGTATCACCCCTGTCCCTCTCTTATTGCCAAATGTTTCACTGTGTGGGTATACCACATGTTATTCATTCACTTATCAGTTTTTGATTTTAGTTTTTGAAATAGGGTACAAGAACTTACCAGAGAAGTGGCACGCATGTGCGCACGTGCACACACACACACACACACACACACACACACACACAGAAAGAGAGGGAAAGTGAGAAATCACCCCCTGGGAAGATGGCCACACCACAATCCTATCTCCTTTGAATTCCTCTCAGGATTCTGGGCATGCATACACATACACCCAGTGTGATTTTCAAGCTGCTGGGTCCGGGATTGGAACCACAAAGTCGATCATGTGAGATCCAGCTGCCTTAACCTCTATGCCACCTGCTGGCCCTCTACTTTGGTCTATTATGAATAATATTGCTATGAACATTTGTGGATAGATTGTTGTATAGACATATGTTTTCATTTCTCTTTTGTGTATATCTAGGGGTAGAATTGCTATGTTATAGGGTAACTATTTTTTGTTACTGTTTGTTCTTAAAGAATTATTATTTTTTAAAGAATTATTTTATTTAACTTTATTTATTTATTTTAATTTGACCAGAGAGGGACATAGTAAGAGAGAGAGGGAGAGGAAAAGTGAGAAAGCAAGCTAAGAGGTCCGGGACTCAAACCGCAGTTGGCCATGTGGGAATCCAGCGCCCTTAACCACCACACCACTTTCCGGTCCCCTTAAAGAATTGTTTTATTTAATTTTATTATCATTTTTTTTAAAGAGAGATTCTTGTATATTGGTATAGGGCATATGTGCTCATTGGAGAGACAGAGACAAAGACACAGAAAGTGAGAAATTGTCCTCTGAGGGGATGGCCATGCCGTAATCCTTTCTCCTCCATTCTCCTCTTGGGATCTTGGGCATGCACCCACATGCACCGGGTGTGAGTTTGAAGCCACCAGGTTTGGGACTTGAACTGCGGTCGACTAGATGGGAGCCCAGTGACATAACCATTACACCATCTGCTGGTCCCTTATTATCATTATCATTTTTAATTTGATGAGAGAGAAAAGGAAAGTGAGAAAGTGAAATGCCAGGTCCAGGACTTGAACCATGGTCAGTCATAAAGTTTTCATCATCATGCCTGCTGGCCCCTATGTTTTTTTTTTTTTTTTTAAAAATAAATTTATACTTTATTTTTAAAAATGACTTCTTTATTTCTTCCATGAGTGAGAGAGAGAGAGACACAGAGACAGCACCTCAGCAAGGTCTTGACATCATGTATCCCCCAGCCTCAGCCAACCCCAGATCCTGGTCACAGGTATGCCTGATAAA